TTATGCTTCCGGAGCATGCGAATGATGTTCATTGCTGTTTGAAAGATCACTTTTTTTGATGCCTATATGTAAATGATGCAATTGCTGGTTCTACAGATGCAGTAGACTGATGCTTATTACTGTTTTGTTACTGTGCAGAACGAGGACGGATCCAAGGTTGAGTACAGGGTGTGGAACCCCTTCAGGTCCAAGCTGGCTGCTGCCGTGCTCGGAGGTGTGGACAACATCTGGATTGTGAGTCCTTTTTGTGCCCCGGCTTCCATTCTGAATTATTTGAATTCCTTGCTGTGTCAAGGATGTAGGTCAGATTATAATCATTGTTTGTCGTAGTAGCTGACTTTGTTGTTGTTGTTTCAGGCTCCTGGAACACGTGTGCTGTACCTCGGAGCCGCCTCTGGAACAACCGTGTCTCATGTGTCTGACATAGTTGGACCGGTAAGATCTCGTCGATATTTCCTTTGCGTATTTCAGTGGATGTCGCTTAATGTGAGTTGTCTTAACAAAGTCTTGTCACTTTGCAGACTGGGTTGGTGTATGCTGTTGAGTTCTCTCACCGGAGTGGCAGGGATCTTGTCAACATGGCCAAGAAGAGGACCAATGTCATCCCCATCATCGAGGATGCTAGGCACCCGGCCAAGTACCGGATGCTGGTCGGCATGGTTGATGTTATCTTTTCAGATGTTGCACAGCCTGACCAGGTATGCCTTTCCGAAGAATTTCTAGAGCCCTGTTTCTACAGTCTTGCTTACTATCAACATCAGTTATTGTAGTTTACACTTACTGTTATTGTTTGTCTGTGCAACTCCTTGTGAGTTGTTGGCGGGTTAGCAAAAGATGAGGTTTACTCGGATTCCCCTTCAGGACATCAAATGGATGATGCAAAATCGAGTCTCTGATGCGTTCATGCCTCTTTACTTATTTGGTTTGCTGCATTATCTGCATTTTGATTACAGCTACAAAAAAATCCATTTGCATTACCAGTGGTTAACAATAACTGGTGTAACAATCTACTCTTATTAGTGTGCAATGTTTACTTGACTTCTGTGGCCATATTGGGGCTTAGCATATGATGAGCTAACTCGGATTCCCCTTCAGGACATCACAATGTATGATGCAAAATCGAGTTTCTGATGCACTTACGCCCATTGCCAGATCTTTGCTTTTGCGTGTTGCTACATTTCTATTTTTTGTTGGATTTTCTCCATCATATTGTGTGCATAACATTAAGTTTGGATGGTTGGGTACAAGTAGCTTTGCACCCTGCCCACTGTGACAAAACAGTGTATATGATTAGCTACTCCGCTCTCGATCTCTGTTTTGCCTTTTCCCTTGTTTTATATTTGATTATTTTTGACAACTGTGATGAGCCAATTTTACAGTTACAGACCTGTAATGACTCCTGCGGAAATGATCGCATGGTCAAAGAACATCTAAGGGACTGAGTTGTCTTGGAAATATCTTGGATCTTTCCTGTATCTAGTTGTCTTGAACATCTTAGATCGTGCTTTTCGTGTTTCGATCTGCTTCTCTTAACAGTATTCGTGCCTGTGAATTAATTTCTATGGTTCCTGGGTAATGAGGAGATGGGAAGCAGAAATTAATGTTCCTCTCGCTATCCAGTGCAGAACTTCTTGTGTTGCAATTGGACGTCGAGGAACTACACTTCTCTTTTTGCTTTTAAATTTGCTGGTCCAGTTACAATTTCCAGTTTGATCTTTGATAACATCGTGTTGTCTTGTAATCTTATCTCTTTGCTTCACATTCCTTTCTTTGCTCACAATATTGAACCCACATTGAGGCTTGATTTTGAATTTGTTCTTGCATTATCAATAATAAAGCCTCAGCTTTAATATTGAAGCATGATGTGGGTGACTTGTTAATATTGTGATTGATCACTTCTGAGCCTTGTCATTGCATCTTCTGTTCCACAGGCTAGAATCTTAGCCCTTAATGCATCATACTTCTTGAAGAATGGCGGCCACTTCGTCATTTCCATCAAGGTACCACTCAGTTTCATACTTGGAGCATGCCTTAGAAAATCTGAAATTTCCATTTGAGCTGACATTGCTCTTTGCTTTGAATCAGGCCAACTGTATCGACTCGACCCAGGCTGCCGAGGCGGTGTTTGCGAGCGAAGTGGAGAAGCTGAAGGCCGACCAGTTCAAGCCCTCGGAGCAGGTGACCCTGGAGCCCTTTGAGCGCGACCACGCCTGCGTTGTCGGTGGTTACAGGATGCCCAAGAAGCAAAAGTGAAGTTGAGAGGAAGCAAAAGAAGTGGATGTGTTGTTTCTGCCATCTGCTTGCTCGGATGTACTAGTAGCAGTAGTAGTAATGTGTGACCCAAGTGTAAGGGGTTTTGTGAGACAATTCCTGCTGGTTTACAGCAATTATGTTAAACTTGATTTGAGCAGAAAATGTCACTCCATCTGAAATGAGTGAACACACTAAAAATGTTAAAACATCTCTTATTCGTGAGCATCTTATATATTTTAAAAAAAAACCCTAGTTGAGCAAGAGACTGGAGATATTCACAGAAACAATGAAACTGAACTGAAAGGAAGACAATTGTCCTTGTATGACTGGGCATCAAAATACAAATTTAGAGTTGTCTCAAAAAGTTCTATATCAGCCACTCGTACATAGCTCAGAATTTAACAATATTTTCTCAGATTTCTGTAAAGAGGAATATCAATTTCAGCATGCTACTCAGAGTTCAGGTCATCCGGAATAAAACGAAGGAAAAGGAAAAGAAGATCTCACCAATCAAACTCAAAGCAAGTCTACCAGTGGCTGCTTGTGGCCATTGGAGCCAATGTTGGTGTTTTGTGTAAAAGCTTCCAGCCTGTAAGAGAATTGTTCGGTTCATGTTAAACTTGATTTGAGCAGAACATGGTTATATCTCTGACGCAAACTTGATTTGAGCAGGAAATGCTCATCTTTTGCACAGTTATCTGTTTGAACATGATGCACACCGCCGCAACCCCTCTAGGACTACCAAGCCTCCGTCGCGGCCGTCCTCCACGCCGACGATCTCAAGCGCCGCAGGTTCGCTTTCTATTTCGTGGAATATTCAGATCAATCCAGACTCGTCGCTAGATTTCTAAGGAGAAAGTTGCTATGACGTGCTCGCCTCGGTCGATTGTGGAAATCATTCGGCCATAACTTGACTTGACTTGAAGAAAAGTATGCATGCAGTGCAAGACCAGGACGACGACTGCGAATGCGCTGCTTCTCTCTGCTATTATACTACATAATTAACACTTGTTAATTAATCCTAACACTCTCCACACTATCTGCACTACTCCTTTGCTTGTTCAATTGCTTTGCATGGCATGACTGTTCAGATCGTTATAGTTTTCTCATGGTTAAGAGCATCTCCAGCCGTGCCCCCCAACAGGCCCGCCAGGTCCTTTTCTAGCGCCGGCGCTGAAAAAACGGCCTAGTCAGACCCAGGCGCCAGCGTCAGTTTCGGTCCTAACATGCCGCGCATGGAGTGCCCGGTGCCCCTCACCTTCTCGCGCCGTCGCGGCAGCTCCTGGACGCCGCGACGGATGGAGACGGCGACCTCCTCGTCGTGGGGCTCTGGCTCCCTCTCCTTCGGTTCGCCGGCGCTCCGCCCCGTCAAGCCGGAGCCACAGGAGACGCCGCTCGGGCGCCGCACCCGCCCCTCTCCTTCTTCCCGGCTCGTGAGACCGAAGACCGAGCCGGGGTTGCTCCTCGTGAAGAAGGAGCATGCGGACATGGCCGCCTCCGCCGAGACCGCCCTCAAATGGGCGAAGGCGGACTACGTCCGCGAGCAGGTGGAGCGCCAGCGCCGCGCCCTCGAGGAGATCGCCGCTCGGCGCCGCAGACGTGAGGAGGGCGGCGTCGTCATCCTCAACAACAACGATGAGGAGGCGCCCATGCCGTCCAACCCCTGCGCATCGGCGACGCTGGTCAGGGTTCCAGCAAGGACGGCGGCGGCACGCACGACGACGGCGACTATACCCGGTTCTACAGGCTCCTCGGCACGTAGAAGGCGGGCTTTTCGGCAGCGGCGCGGCGGCGCAGTAGTGCTAGGCGTTTTTTAGTTTAGTTTAAATTTATGTGTTTTAGTTTTTGTACAAATATCAATGAAATCGTCT